GAATAATTATATCGTGAACAGAAATACGAGCTTCTTAGAGTGTATTCAATCACTCTTGCTTATCATTCTCAAAATCGCACATTTATTGAGTACCTAATCATGTTACCCGCACTGTTCTGGTGTTCTTACGTAGGTTTTTTAAATTTAATTCTCACATGAACACTGAGAGGTAGTGTTTTTATCTCCATTTTACATATGGGGAAATAGAGGCACAGAGCCTCAAGTTTGTATAAACATATAATACATGTAAATATAATCTATTAAACAAGTAAGTGTCAGAGCCAGGCTGTGTCCAGGCATTGTGATTTCAGAGACACGTATGTGTGCTAATTCCTCACCACCACCACAGGTTCCGCAGGCTTAAGAATCAGTAACAGAAATCTCCTCTTACAGAACATGCCTCTGGGTGTTTCCATACAAGGAAGTAGTCGTGGGAGAAATCTGTCTTTTTATGTGACAGTGTGAAGTTCTTGTTTGCCAGCTTACCTTTGGGTGTTGTATCATGCAGTCTCTTGATCATCCCTTGTCTTCTGGGTCCCACAGATTATCAACGAGGACATTGCCAAGAGGACGTGTGAGGAGCACCAGCTCTGTGTTGTGGCTGTGCTGCCCCATATCCTTGATACTGGTAAGATAGACAGAAACGATTTCCCCTTAGCTGCTCCGTGCTAAAGGCTCTGAGAATACTTCCTAAATGGATTACTTTTATGGACTCCTTTATCTTTACCTTTAAAAACCTTTGTCTGTTTAAATTAGGAGCTGCAGGTAGAAATTCTTATCTGGAAGTTCTTCTGAAGTTGGCAGACAAATACAAAAAGAAAATGTGGGGGTAAGTTACTGAGCTTGCTTACTTTCTTAGGGTCATCTGGACAGGGAATAGAGCTTCCTGAGAGTGATTCGCCCAAGTTGCTGTAGGCTGTGTTTCCTCTGCTCTGTGGTGTTGGTTGGTTGGTTGGTTGGTTGGTTGGTTGGTTGTTTGGTTGGTTGGTTGGTTTTTTGAGATGGAGTCTTGCTCTGTTGCCCAGGCTGGAGTGCAGTGGTGCAATCTCAGCTTACTACAGCCTCCACCTGCTGGGTTCAAGCAATTCTCCTGCCTCAGCCTCCCAGGTAGCTGGGATTACAGGCCCCCACCACCACACCCAGCTAATTTTTATATTTTTAGTAGACATGGGGTTTCACCACGTGGGCCAGGCTTGTCCCAAACTTCTGACCTCAAGTGATCCACCTGCCTTCACCTCCCAAAGTCCTGGTTTTACAGGTATGAGCCACCGTACCCAGCCTGCTCTGCTATATGTATTTATTCAGGATATGAAAATACTGTCACTAGGAGGAAAAGAAGGAATGCAGGGCTGCCAGCACAGTGCATTTTTCTCATAGGAATCATGTTTTCAATGGTGATTGGGGTGCCCGATTAGCAAGCAGACACATAATGAGTAGTGCAGCTGAATTCCAATATGAGCTTGAAGGCTAGATGAGAAAGATGAAATAGAAGCATGCTTCCTTACCTGAGTAAGGACTGGATCTAGGCACATTTTCAGAACAGTCTCCTTCCTATTTCTTTTTGCTTCTTATCTATTGCTTTCCCCAGGTACCTAGCGCCCCCTGCTGTCCCTCTCTCCATGACCTTGCTCCTCCTCCATTAGTTCAGCAAATGTTTATTAGATGCCTACAGAACGCAAGAGCACACTTAACCCAAATGATACTGGTGGCATTTCAAGTAAAAAGGGAAAATCCATGTAGAAACTCACTTTTTGTTTTTTATTTATTTCTCACTCATTCCATGAAATATCTGAAGCATGATCTTTTGTTCTCTAAGTTCTTGTAGTTGGATTGTAAGCAATTTAAAAGACATATTTGCCCTAAACACCAGTCTGGTTTTCTAGGTGGCTGTGGACAGAAGCCGGAGCCCAGTCTGAACTTGAGACCGCACTGGGGATTGGAGGGTTTGGGTACCCTGCCATGGCCGCCATCAACGCACGCAAGATGAAATTTGCTCTGCTAAAAGGCTCCTTCAGTGAGCAAGGCATTAATGAATTTCTCAGGTAATTTGTTTTCTTAGGTTGTTTGTCTCTTTGAATCTGTCATGGGTTTTTATTTGAAACCAGGTATATATAAATATAATAAATGAAATAAATGGTATTTCAAATGCAGACTAACTCCAGAGAATTGTTTACAAATTAGAGTTTTTAAATTATCTCCCTGTTCATTCTTTTTTCCATGGAATACTCTGCTTGCTGGATGAGGAGAATGCGTTTCTGCCCTCAGGCCTCCCTGTGTGCCATTCTGTACATCTGTCCGTGGGCTCTTATTCTCATAAAGGTCTCATGGGCTAAAGGCATGAAGGTGGTTTTCATTTCGGGACACTTGGCTTTGGAATGTAGTTATTTATTTGAAAATGGGTGTACTTGAGTTACTCCAACAGTGCAAACAACATGATAGGTTCTCAAACTCTAAAACCAATATACAGGGCTCTCTGTCCTGCTCTGCTGTTCAACTCACCTAGTCATCTTTCAGGCAGTACAAGGCATTGACCCAACGAGGTTTTGTTTGCCATTCTTGCTGTTGGCTGTGTTCATTTCTTAGCTGCTGTATAAAAAGAGATGTTCAGCACACAAAAGGCAGTTGAGAGGCTTATGATGAATAATGGATACGAAGAATAGTGTGTGAAAGTCTACAGTGCTCTTGCTGCCAGTCTTCCTATTGACGAAGTGTGTGTGTGTGTGTGTGCGCGTGCGCGCGTGTGTGTGTGCTGTGTAGAGACAGGCTCCAGAGTCAGGCACCTCAGTCATAGCTCTGCCTCCAGTAGTGAAGTGGGAAGCATGGAGGAACTCCTGTGAGGTCAGCTTCTTTAGCTCATGCCTGGGGACAGACCCTGGCTCCTTCCCTCCCAGCTGTCTCTCATAGTTCGTTAATATGGTTAAGGGGGTGTTTTCATAAAGAAGTTTGTGGGGTCAGGCGCGGTGGCTCACACCTGTAATTTCAACACTTTGGGAGGCTGAGGCACACGGATCACATGAGGCCAGGAGTTCGAGACTAGCCTGGCCAACATGGTGAAACCTCATCCCTACTAAAAATATAAAAAATAAGCCAGAGGTGGTGGCGTGTGCCTGCATTCCCAGCTACTAGAGAGGCTGAGGCACAAGAATCACTTGAACCCAGGAGGTTGAAGTGACGCCACTGGCACTCCACCTTGGACAACAGAAGGGAAAAAGACGTTTGTGCACCGCTTAAGTTTGTGATTGTCACAGAGTAGTATTTATTAAATCATGAAGTCAGAATTTAAATATATCTCATGTAATATTTTTTTCTGATAATAGGTTTGCTTATTTTAGCCCAGTGGTGCCACCACATTAGATTATTATTCTGAGTTGTTTGGTGCACTCTAAATATTTGTGCCCACAGTATTTCTTGCCTTGGTTTCCAAACAGCCAGATTATACCAGGTCTGGTGTTTTCAAGTACTGATGTTAACGCACATATGCACACTGCTCTCTCCCAGCCCACTGGAACCAGTTGCCTCACTGCTGACATGCTCGCTCTGTACAGGTTCACAGCAGTCGTAGAAAAAACTCACAGGCAGCCCATGTTCTAGATCAACTTTGATCATTATTTATGTACTTAATTCATTTTTCAGCAAATACTCTTTTTATTTATTTTTGAGATGGAGTCTCCGTCAGCAGACTGGAGTGCAGTGGCGCGATCTCAGCGCACTGCAACCTCTGCCTCCTGGGTTCCAGCAATTCTCCTGCCTCAGCCTCCTGAGTAGCTGGGACTACAGGTACCCACCACCACACCTGGGATTTTTGTATTTTTAGTAGAGACTGGGTTCCATCATGTTGGACAGGATGGTCTCTATCTCTTGACCTTGTGATTCACCCACCTCAGCCTCCCAAAGTTCTAGGATTACAGGCGTGAGCCACCGCACCTGGCCTTACTCTGCTATTTTTGAAAACTTGTTGGTAGCAACTGACTTTATCTGATGCAGAGGGCTCCATTGGGAATGTTTAATCTGGCTATAATGTTGTCCATGATTCAAAAGATGATGTTCTCAAGCTGTGCAAGAGACAAGAAATGCCTCTACATAAACAGAGTAGGCAGGCTGTTATTTTTAAATGCTTGTTCTGTACCAGCAGTCCATTGTAAATGTGTGTGTGTTCTGGTCATTCTTCCCCAAGGGAGCTCTCTTTTGGGCGTGGCTCCACGGCACCTGTAGGAGGCGGGGCTTTCCCTAGCATCGTTGAGAGAGAGCCTTGGGACGGCAGGGATGGCGAGGTGAGTGCCTGGGAGGGAGGCTGTGCAGGCAACAGTCCTCGTTCACTCTCTTGAGCCTGTGCATCTCTGCACCTGGAGTCACGTTCTTTCCATCAGACCTCCCCTTCGGTGTACCCATGGGCCTTTTAAGAGGTTCTTCTCTGAGGACACTTCATCTTCCTTATCACAAGTTTAAGTGCTGCATGGCATTTGATAATCTTGACAGACAGCCAAGATACATTTCAGCAGTAAACTTGCTTTCCTGGTTATTACCCTCAAAGCAAACATTTAACCTGGAATTAATTTACTTTATCTTAGAAAAATGCAAAATTACAGCTTTGAAACTAGCACTTATTTCTGTACTGTTGTGTCCCACCCTCCTCAAAAGGACAAGTTCAATGGCTTTCAGTGTTAAAGTGGTGAGTGATGCTGTGTTGCAATGTTTTACCTGAGTTCTTAGCTTTTCCGGCTGCATAATCATAGGTACGAAGGTCAAGGTAGGAGCCAGACTGAGGAGAACCTGGTTTGTAAGCAGGAGTAGCTCTAGAGAGTTGCTCTTCTGTAAAATGAGATGTTGGCCTTCCAGGGTGTCCCCCCTTCTGCAGATCTAACAGTGGCTTTCTGTCTCCCAGCTTCCCGTGGAGGATGACATTGACCTCAGTGATGTGGAGCTCGATGACTTAGGGAAAGATGAGCTGTGAGAGCCTCAGCAGAGGCTTCAGACCATTTTCTTTTCTTGGGAGCCAGCGGTTTTTTTCCAGCAGTGAAGGAACATTCTCTGCAATCAGATGACTCTACCAGTGGCCTTTTAAACCAAGAAGTAGTACTTGATTGGTCATTTGAAAACACTGCAGCAGTGAACTTTTGCATCCCAAGAAAACATTGAAAAATTCTATGAATTGTTGTAGCCGGTGAATTGTATCGTATTCTGTCACATAATATTTTGAAGAATACTCGGCTGTCGAAACATTTTTTCCTCTCTGACTGCTGCTTGAATGTTCTTGGAGGCTATTTCTTATGTATAGGTTTTTTAATGTGATTCCTTCATTTGATTATTAATGGCTTTTTCCATTAAAGAATAAAATATTTTGGACAATGCCAATAAATGTATGAAATTAGTATCCACATCCTAAATTAAGAGTGATGTTTAGCAGTAAATGACTATTTTGAAGTGATACACTGATGTCTTTCCTCCCCATCAACTTTTTTAAACAAAAAACAAGACTGGTTCAGACGGTGCCATCGATGCCCACCACAGCATGGAACCTGGGCCCAGTGAGAACTGCAATTTCTGCCCACTGTTCTGTGTTTGGGCCATCTCTAGTGATTATCAGCAATCTAGCTGGTTATACAGTTCAAGGCTTTCTATGTTGTTATGAACCTTAAAATAGCCATTAAGACGTGAAATACAGCAGCAGGTTACCAATTTATAAGTAGTTCTTTTATGTAAAACATTCAGAAAAATGAAATTTTGAATTTGTTAGAACATTCAAAGGACTTGAGAGCATTTTATTGTAACTTAAAAAAAATAAATACAACTGTCACTAACTTTTGTGAGCAATTTCTCTGAAAAAAATCTTAGTTCTGTAAGACATTTGAGGCATTCTCTGGCTAAAGGAAAGAGGTGGCTGTAACAGTCTGCGCGAACATGAGACAGAGGTGCCAGCTGGCTTTTCTAGTCCAGAAGACTAAGGTCGATATGGAAGTAGACATAAGGAAAATAGTCTTGATTACTGAGTTGCAGTCCCGGGATCTCCACAGATGCCTAGAAAAGAAGACATGGTAATGTTCTAAGTACATAAACTAGTTTCCTGTCTTATCCTTTTATTTTTGAGGAAGTTCTCCAGGCACTGGCTGTATTCTGCTCTGCATAGCTGTGGCCCACCCCCTCCAGCCCAGCCCTTGCTGTGCAAGGGGTGTATGACATGTAGATTTTCGTAACAGGCTGGCAAATACCTTTTTTTTCTCTTGAGACAGAGTCTCTGTCACCCAGGTTGGAATGCAGTGGCATGATCTCAGCTCACTGTAACCTACATCTCCCAGCTTCAAGCAATTTTCCTGCCTCAGACTCCAAGTAGTGTGGATTACAGGCATGTGACACTACTAATTTTTTTTTAGTAGAGAGAGGCTCTCACCATGTTGGCTAGGCTGGTCTCAAACCCTTGACCTCAAGTGATCCTCCTGCCTTCCAAAGTGCTGGGACTATGGGCAGATGCCAGTTTTTTTGCAGGCATGGGGTGGGGGCTTGAGACAAAGTTTCACTCGTTACCCAGGCTAGAGTGCAGTGGGGCTGCCTCGGCCTTCCGAGGAGCTGGGATTACAGGCATGTGCTACCACGCCCGGCTAATTTTGTATTTTTAGTAGAGATGGTTTCTCCATGTTGGTCAGGCTGGTCTTGAACTCCCGACCTCAGGTGATCCACCCACCTTGGCCTCCCAAAATGCTGGAATTAGAAGCATGAGCCACCATGCCTGGCCAGATACCAGTTTTTTGAAAGTATCTCCCTTTCTACAGTAAGACACTGACCTTAATATAGAAATGCTGTTTCAGGCCAGGCACGGTGGCTCACGCCTGTAATCCCAGCACTTTGGGAGGCCAAGGCAGGCAGATCACGAGATCAGGAGTTCGAGACCAGCCTAACCAACATGGTGAAACCTGTCTCTCCTAAAAATACAAAAACTTAGCCGGGCATGATGGTGCATGCCTGTAATCCTAGCTACTCGGGAGGCTGAGGCAGGAAAATCACTTGAACCCAGGAGGCAGAGGTTGCATTGAACCAAGATCACGCCACTGCACTCCAGCCTGGGCCACAAAATCGAAACTCTGTCTCAAAAAAAAACAGGCTACTTTTTCTAGATACCTACATCCAGTATACTTGTAGCAGCTACTTCATCCAGGTGTCGGAAGACAGAGTTTAGAACCTCTCGTAAACGTTTGGCGGATGACTTCTTATGCGGCTGCAGGAGCACTGCCTGGAAGTTCACTGGTAGTCCATACCTTTCCAGATAAAATGTGTCAGTTACTACTACAAACGCAAACGCACAGAGAAGGAACCTGACGAGAGACGGAGTACATTCCAAGGCTGAAAAGCTTCAACCAACACAGCTTCGTAAAGTCAACCTTGAGCAAAATACCTAGTGCAATGACATGATCTCACTCACTGCAGCCTTTGCGCCTTTGCTTCTGGGGTTCAACCAATTCTGCCTCAGCCTCCCGAGCAGCTGGGATTACAGCATCTGCCACCACCACACCCGGCTAATTTTTGTGTTTTTATTAGAGGTGGGATTTCGCCATGTTGGTCAGGCTGATCTCAAACTCCTGATCTTAAGTGATCCACCCTTCTCTGCCACCCAAAGTGCTGGGATTACAGGCGTGAACCACCGTACCCAGTCATAAGCTTTTATTTTCAGCGTCTGTAAATTATCCCCTGGTTCCCAATCTTCCTGATCCTCATTTGGTAACATGAGTTCTGAAATACTAGGCTTTCCTGTTGGGCCTGCAGAAAGGTGAGGGAAGCCTGAATGCATGAAGAGGCTGCTGGGAAGCACAGACACATCCACTCTCACCCACCAGGCACAAGACTGACCTGGTGGTACCGTCTTTACCTCCCAAGAGCCAAGTGCCACAGAGGCTGGAGGTGTTAGCAGGGAGGACTGTGGCAGCTGCGTAGATAACAAGCAAGGGGAATGGTCCAGTTGACCACCCTGATTTCTTTTGTGTGTCTCTGGTCCTCAGAGCTCTGGTGTCGCCCAGGGGAAATGAGCAGAGAGGCTACAGCACTTAGTGGAGAGCCCCTTACCCTGCTGCCTTCCCTCCTGCACTCCCTGACCCAACTCCCAATTCTGTAAACAAGCACGACACCCTTGGCGTCACCAAATAGTTCCACCTTCCCTGGGAGATGACCAGAATGCTTTCCCAGATGGCAGATGGTAGCCAGTCCCAGGCCCCAAGCCCCAGGCATGCTAAGAGATGGGGTTCTAGGCCTCACTCTGCTGCCTGGTTGCAGATGCTCCCCTTTCCTGCCCTGCTTTGTTGTCTTGCACCTCGTGGTCCCACCAGTGTCATTACCAAGTTGCCCTGGAGGTTATCTGTCACCCAGAAGGAGGACCTGTCCTTAGTCCTTAAAGCTTAAAGCGCTCCTCCCTCAGCAGCCTGGCTTGAGGGAGAGGCCTGCCTCTGTCGTGCTCCTAGGTCCCTAACAGACACGCTCTCTAACCCCTGACCTTCCTCAGCCTCTGGGCTCTTCCGACCCTTCTCAGCCCTGTCCCATCTCTGGCACCCTTGCTGCTAATAACGCCTTCTCCATTCTGCCCAGAACAGAGCCCCATGCCAAGCACAGTGGCTCACCCCTGTTATCCCAGCACTTTGTGGGGCCAAGGCAGGCTGGATCACCTGAGGTTAGGAGTTTGAGACCAGCCTGGCCACCGTGGTGAAACACTGTTGCTACTAAAAATGCAAAAATTAGCCAGGTGTGGTGGTGCACGCCTGTAATCCCAGCTACTAGGGGAGGCTGAGGCAGAAGAATTGCTTGAACCCGGGAGGCAGAGGTTGCAGTGAGCCAAGATTATGCCACTGCATTCCAGCCTGGAGGACAGAGCAAGAGTCCTTCTCAAAAAAATAAGACCCTAGGAGTGGCTACTGGTCCCCCCCATTCTTAATGCCCTGCCACATGCCAAGAACAAAGAGGAGGCTTATGGCAACAGCCAGGCTTGTGGGGCCGGACCAGTGGAAGAGTGCAGAGGCAGGAGTGGACCAGGCCTTTTGGGTGCAGCGGCAGGGAACTCCAAACTGACCCTGAAGTTTGGGGTCTGATGAGGGGAAAGATGAGGAGGCCACTGGCAGAAACAGGGAAGCAGAGGAAGGCGTGCGGGAGGTGAGATGAGACAGATACCCAGGTAAGGCCTATGGCAGGTCCTGGAGACCAGGAAACATGGGCAGGAAAACGAGGGAGAGTAGGGGACATCAGCCAGGGGGACAGCAAGGAAGGGTGAGGAGCTCTTCAGTGCAGGCGAGGAAGGGGTCCGGGAGGTCAGACAGAGGGTCCTGGGGCCGGAGGAGCCCAGGAGGCTACAGGTCAGAGCAGCAGGCAATGCACAACCCTCAGTAACATGGGAGGCAGCCGCGCAGGGCAGCAAAGCGAGCTGCAAAGGCATTTCCTGGCTGATTCCACTTTCATAAAAATCTGTAAGAATTATGTGCATCTATACATAAAAAAACCAACAAACCCTACACCTAGAGGGACACCGACTTGGACTTTGGCAGTGTTCTCTCCTGGTGGTAAGATTACAGGAGTTTTTATTCACTTTGCTTACCTAGAGTTGCCAGATTTCCCACAGTGAAGCAATTTTTTTTTGTTTTTTGAGCCGGAGTTTCACTCTTGTTGCCCAGGCTAGAGTGCAATGGTGCGATCTTGGCTTACTGCAAACTCTGCCTCCTAAGCTCAAGTGATCCTCCCACCTCAGCCTCCCAAGTAGCGGGTACTACAGGCCTGTACCACCACACCAGCTAATTTTTGTACTTTTAATAGAGACAGGGTTTCACCATGCTGGCCAGGCTGGTCTTGAACTCCTGACCTTGGCCTCCCAAAGTGCTGGGATTATAGGGGTGAGTCACTGTGCCCGGCCTGCCTAATATTAAAAAAAAACAAAACAAAAATAGGCCAGGTGTGGTGGCTCATGCCTGTAATCCCAGCACTTTGGGAGGCTGAGGGTGGGGGTGGATCACCTGAGGTCAGGAGTTCGAGACCAGCCTGACCAACATGGAGAAACCCTGTCTCTACTAAAAATACAAAATTAGCCAAGCGTGGTGGCACATGCCTGTAATCACATCTACTCGGGAGGCTGAGGCAGGAGAATCACTTGCACCTGAAAGGCGGAGGTTGCAGTGAGCTGAGATCGTGCATTGCACTCTAGCCTGGGCATCAAAAGCAAAACTGTCTCCATATATTAGGCAACATTAGCTTTGTTGTTGTTGGTTTGGTTTTCTCTCTGGGCTGCCTTGACGGGTGGGCTTTCCAGGCTGAGGACAGAGGCAGCCCAAAAACCCTTTCCGGGAGCCATTGGGCCCCTGCAGGCTTCACGAGGGTGGGGATAGAAGCCAGCCAGAGGGGCCACAAGGTTATGCCAGTGGGGCGGCCAGGGAGAACCCGGATGACACTTGCCCCCAGTGTGGCAGCAATGGAGGGACCAGACAGCAGGGGACGCAGGGCTGAGGGGAGAGTGTATTTGACTCGGAATTTAGCATGCTGCCAAAAGCCACAGGCACAGAAAGAAGAGGGTGGGAGGGTGGAGAGAAGGCAGGAGCTGGGGTGCACCGATAGCTCCCCCAGGCCCTGCCCACCCTCGGGACAGCCCCTTCCAGGGCATTGCTGCCACGCACCTGAGCACAGACTCCACAAACACTCTCAGGGCCTTGATGTGGATCCAGGCAATGAAGGCTTCGCTGAAGTTCACCTTGAGCCAGCGCAGCAGGGGGCCCTGCAGAGACGGAAGAGACAGGTGAGACCTCTTGGCCACCCCGCCCAACGCAGTCAACAAAGAACTTGGGTTTTAACAGAGTGCCCCCTGGGCCGAGAAGAAGTGCCCAGGAGCAGGCAGAAGCAGAGAGTCGGGCGGACCAGCCCTGGGTCAGGCTCAGGACCTTGAGGTCCAGGGAGCCTGGGGCCGGGGAAGCTCAGCGAGCCAGCCACCGGCGCATGCACGGGGCCACCACAGACCACAGCACAGGAAGCCGGGCAGCCCCTGACCTCGGGACGTTCAGCATGCGGCCAGGGGCTTCTGCCTGACACTGCGCAGCCAGGGAGCCCACATTCCTGAAGACTCTGCCCCCAGGCTCCTGGGACCATCCACAGCAGCTGCCTCCAGGGGCACCTCACAGCCCCACATCACACGGCTACATCAGCGGCCACTGATGCTGATGTGGCAGGTCCTCCCGGGAGCTCAGAGTCTAGGAGCAAGAGCTCTGAGCTCCTGCCTGACACTGCAACTGCCCACAAAGGTCAGGGGTGAGTCCAGCCAGGGCAGCCGAGGGAGGAGAGCTGAGCTGTCCACCACCACCAGGTCCTGCCCGTCCCAGCTCCAGCCACCTCCAGCCAGGGGCCCAGGGAGAGGCACCCTGGCAGACAAGCACCCTTCACTGCTGGCAGAGGCAGCTCCAAAGAGGCCCTGCAGATTAGGAGGAAGGCATGATTCTGGGCTCCTCAAATTTAAGACCTCAAAAGCCATGTGAGAGAACAGAAAATGCAAAGATTCATCTTCTCAGAAGGTGCCTGAGCTGGCGAGGAGGCGCGAGCCAGGGACCCCCGGCTTCCCGGGGCGTTGCTTACCTCACCCTCGCCCTCACTCTCTCTCTCTCTGTCGCTCTGCCCCGCAGCGGGCCTATCGGGGTTACCTAGCGGGGTTACCTTAACCTTGTGGTCCGGGAAGGTAGATGATCCCTTTTTAAGAGCAACACAGGAAGTTTGCTAAAGGCACAGAAATCATTTATTAATCTTTCAGCAAAACATGCATCACAAACAAATAAATCATTCTCATCACCTGAAAGGCACGCGAGAGCAAGCTCAGAATTCAGGCCCACCCTAGGGACTCACTCCTGGCTGGACTAGAGATGTGGCAGGTGCCCACCGGGCTCCCAGAGTGGCAAAGGCAGAGGGAAGGGCAGCGTTAACGTCTTTGAGTTTCGGATTCCAAGCACAGAGCCAATCTCTGGCAGAGGGGTCGGTCCCTGTGCTTGGGCTCGGTCAGGACCCCCGTCGCCGGCTGACCAGGATGGGACCGGGAGGCATCAGTGGAAACGCTGTCTGCCCTCTGTCAAGGAGTCTCCACCATACCGAACCACAGATGCCCTGCTGGCATTTTGGGGGGCACCTTGGTGCACAGAGTGCAAGAGATGAGTCGGGCGTGCAGTTAAGACACTCACCCATTCCCATTCTGTCTCTGCAAACAGGTGGGAAACACTGGGAAATCCCACTCTGCTCTCAAAGCACACTCAAACCCAGGGCCTGGACTGTCCCTCTGGTTGACAAGTGGCAAAAATGATGCAAGACTCTTGGTCATGAACTTCCAGATAGGCCAGAGGGGGGCTGACCCAAGCTGAGAGTGCCTCCACCTCCCACCCACAGAAAGACCCTGGCAGGGCCCCCAGGGCAGTGTGGGTGAAGGCTACGCCATGGAAAATAACGCCAGCTGGCAACCTGAGCCCCACATGGCAGGTGGCAGGCTGTGTGTCACCCTGTTCCCCAGGGGGCTGCCAGGCCTGGGCCAGTGCCCAGGTGGGTGCCAAACGCCCTACTTCACCACCTGTCCCCCACCCAGCAGGGCCTCCCATCGTGGAGGTTGCCATGGTCTAGCCGCGTCCAGATAGACTGTGCAGGGGGGCGGGGCCAGGTCTCAAGTGAGCTGGGAAAAAGCCCAGCTAGAGAGAACAGCCCGGGCACACCCAGGTAATGAGGGTTTCAGGTGAGCTGAGGCTAAGGAAGAAAACACTGTGGAGCTCAGCTTTCATTGGGGAAAATCTCTCCTGCCTGGTATCTGGGTCTGTGGGCCCTGAGAACAGGAGCACCCAAAGGTCCCCAGCTCCAGCTTGACCCCTCATCCTCAAGAAGGGACATCCTTCCCACAGGCTCAGCCACAGCCCAGCAGCCTCTGGTTCTGAGGCGTGTCTCACTTGCTATGCACACACATGTCCACACACATGCATGTGCACAGACACACGCATGCACACACACGCACACACACGCACGCACACACACACACACACGTGTGAGCATCCTGTGCTTCTGTTTCAAGGGCAGGGGTGAAAAACCCCTATATGAACTTTTATATTATCAGCTGTTGTCTCCTTCCTAAGGGGGGTCCAAGAACCCCACTGTGGGGGCTCCATGGCTGGGCTCGCTCATAAGGGGTGGCTGCTTATCTGCAGTCCCTGCGCGAGAAGGTCGCTGACAGGCCAAGTCCCCAGGAGCCCGGAGCCCACATTTGGTTAGGCAGGCATCGGGAGCACTCCCAGCCTGCCGCAGCCAGTGCTCCTTCCCACGGAGGTCCTCACAGTGCTGTGCTCAAGCAACTTTCCCCCTCCTCCCGCCCCGTCTCTGGAGGCTGGCTTGGAAGGTGCTCCACGGAACCCTCCCTGGTGGGCGTGGGAAAGAAAGGGCCTGAAAACATCCCACCCAGACAGGCTCCTTCCAAGTTGCCTGGCTTAGCCCAGCACGGCAGCAGGAGGACCTGAGCGTGGAAGGCGCCCTCTTCACAGGGCCGTGGAGTGACCCTCCCAAGGCTCTCCTGCTCACATTTCAAATCAAGCATCTGGTTTTGCTCCCTGGAAGAGCTAAGCTGTCCTCCTACATGAAGGGTTTTTCAGTGGCTGTGGTCGGAAGTCTCCAGATAAGCACCCACAACGTGCTAAGAACACGGGAAGTAAATACAGGGGCCAGCGGCGCCCTGGAAACCTCACGTTGCAATCTCCAAGGCCCAGGGCTGCCCACCCTGCGCACAGATGCACCGGCTTGGAGCCTCCGTGCCTTGCTCAGTCCCAGGAAGGCTGGGCAGGGTCCTCTAGCCAGTTGCCTCTCAGATCCTCAGTTTCTCATCCATACTATGGAGCCAGCAACCCTTTCCTGGCAGGGCAGTGCTCGGGACGGTGAGAACATATGCGGAACATGCGGCTCAGGTGGACCCCAGCTCCCACCCCAGCTCCACCGCCTGGGCTCCTTTGTGCTAGCACTGCCCCTCCCCTCCAGGCCCCCCTCAGGTGTCCCATGAGAACAGATGGTGGGTCCCCACAGTGTGAGCCAAAGGGACTGGGGACAGTGAGAGGGAGAGCTGGGGACTTGGGAGGACTCTTCTATCCCCAGGCCACTGCGGGGGAGGCGCTGCTCAATCACATACTCACATACTGTTGCTTCTTATCAGACAGCAATCGGGCCATCTCCTCCCTTTCCCTTTTAATTTCTTTCTCATCATAGTAAAATTCACGAACAGTGAACCTTAAAGCAAGCAAACCATGGGCTTTCACTCAGACGCTTTCCAGAGGGGCAGAGAAACCCCGGCCCCCGCGGCGGGAGATGGAGCAAACCTGGAGAGCCCTTACTTGTTTTCTCTGGCTTTGCTTTTGAAATCTTCAATCACTTTTCGAAACAGAGTCACAGTGAAAAGGCCGCCCTCCTTGTCCTCAGTAATGAGTCTGTTGGAGAGAAGCATCTGCTGGCTGGACTCTGCCTGGCCCTGTGTGGGAGTGGGGCTCAGGGGCCCCCGGGCCTGGTGGCCTGTGTATTTGGGGCCCCTGGCAGCAGCTGACGGCTGGGGAACCCAGGGCATGCCCTGTGATTTCCTAACCCCTGGCTGGCTGCCCTTCCCTCCTGTCCCTTCCACACTCCTCCGGGCTAAGGCCTCAGGAGGCCTTGGGTCCAGGGAAAGCAGAGGCCTGGGCTTCAGCTCCCACTCATCAAATGCCTGAGCAACCAAGCCCTCCTGGGGCTCTGTCACTGCAGCTGGCACGGGGTGTCCCTGGCTCTGATGTGCTGTGGTTATAGTGAAGCAGGGTGGTGGAAACCATCTTACAAGGTCCATTTCACTTCCAATGTCACCAAGTCCTAATGGGACACAGCTTCCCAAGCACATCTCAACATAGGACCACTGGGGCCACTGCCTCTAGCAGCTTGGGAATTCTTGGGACCAGGGGTCTAAGCTCTCTTGAGTTCTGTTGGCCAGAAGACTGGAAGTGGGAGCCCTCAGGCCCAGGCAGGGTCTCGCGGGGTCATGCTTCCAGACCGCGTCCATCGGGGCTGCCCCCAGGCTCCAGGTATTTCCAGAGTTATCTATGCAGGCTCTCAGGTGCCCTGTGACAACGAAGGGCCTGAGGCTCTGGTCTGGGAGGCCAGGCCATGTACCAAGGCAGCCGGTCCTGGCAAGGATCCCGGTACTTGGCATTTAAGAGCAATGACTGCTTCTGCCAGCTTCCAGGGCCGGCTCCTCTGCTCTGGAGTCTTGCTCCTCTTCCCTGCCTCCCCTGTGACCTCGGGCTGTGACTGTCCTGTTCCTTGCACCCTTCAATTTAGATCCTGATTGCCATCTCATAGCCCTGGGAGAGCCCCTCCGCAGCAGGGGCCCCAGGGCAGAGACCTTACAGCAGGAGTTGTGTGCGGGGGGAGTCAGATGAACAGGCTGGCTGCCTGACGCACGTTCTAAAATCTCTTCAAATTACAAACCATCTCAGCCATACAAAAAGGTATAGAGGAAAACAAGCACCAGGCTGGGTGCGGTGGCTCACACCTGTAATCCCAGCACTTTGGGAGGCTGAGGCAGGCGGATCACCTGAGGTCAGGAGTTTGAGACCAGCCTGGCCAACATGGTAAAACCCCATCTCTACCAAAATACAAAAATTAGCCGACCATGGTGGTGCATGCCTGTAATCCCAGCTACTCGGGAGGCTGGGGTAGGAGAATTGCTTAAACCCAGGAGGCTGCCATACCACTGATTTGATCATGGAAACAAAATAAATAAATAAATAAAAATAAACCCGGGAGGCGGAGGCTGCAGTAAGCTGAGATCACACCACTGCACTCCGCCCTGGGCAACAGAGCAAGACTCCATCTCAAAAAAAAGGAAAACACGGACCTTTGGATCAGCTACCCAAAAACCAAAGTTCCAGGAGGTGAAAGCTCACGTCCCCCTGTCCCACTCACTCCACCCTGAGCCACCACCATCCTGAGCGTGGCCTTCCTCCCCGTGGCCCATCCCTGCAGTTCCCTTCACACCGTGCGTGCTGAGTCGTGTCCATTTCCGCCCCTCTGCTCCTCTGCAGCTGTCTCTCCCCTTCCTCCCCGCTGAGGCACAGAGCCCACACCCTTGCTTCCTCACCGGGCAGTGTCCCATGATGGACACAGGTTGTAACCTGCTCTCCTCCTGTCACTCTAACAGGGCCCACTGGCCACTCCTGCTCTGGCCTCTGCAGGACACATGCTGAGTCTGCTTTCCCTCCCACCTCCCGCTGTGGCTGTTTACTGGGCAGCCACTCAGGCCAGGGCTTCCTTCCCCCTCCACCAGGGAAGAAATGAGGCTGAGCCAGGATGCAGCCAGAATGCAGCAGAGAGCAACAGCACAGAGAGGACGCTAGGCCAGGCGGTGCCAGAGCAGCCTTCCCAGGGCAGAGGCAGGGAAGTGGAGTTTTGGAAGAGGAAAGACTCCAGCATGTGACAATGTGTGTGACCCTGACAGAATTCCAGGCCAAGGGACAGGAGAGGGCCCAGGTGTGGAGGGCTTGGGGTGTCGTACCCTCAGGGCATGTTTGGTGGTTGGCTGCTCTGAAGCACCCACATGCCCCCCAGGGGCCCTGGGGCCAAGCTGTGGTCTCACTTACTTGGTTGATCGAGGGACCACCATGTCCGAGAGAGATTCGTAGGTTTTTTGCCATTGTGAGTAGTTTGGTCTGCAAGAACACAGAACGGTTCTGTGATTTTTTGCTGAAAAGGCTCTTGGGTGTCTCAAGTGCTCAGGAAGCTGCACACCCCTTTTCCTGAGGCCCTGAAGGTGAGCAGGGCTGGGGTCAGAGGGAGCCCTAACCTCCGGAAGCCCTGCTGTGCCCATGGGGAATCCCTGCCCAGCCTCCCCAGGGTACCCACAGAAGTCCCTTTGTGAAGAGCTATGGTTACAGTTGGTGCTCACTAATAACCATCTAATCTGGGCTCCGTGTGACCTTGGACAAGCTAAGCGACCTCTCCAGCCTCAGGACAATGGGAATCACCAGACTTCCCAGGCCTTTGGTGAGGATGAAATCAAATGATGTCTACCATGCATTGGGTATATAGCACGCACTCAGTAAATGGCTGCTTCCCTGTCACGGCCACAACCACCATCACCCAACCACTGTTCCTGCTGACACAGCCGTGAGCAGGGCCCCATGCAGGAGCGACTGCTTCCCAGGACCTGGGGCTGGGCAGGGAGCATCCTCCTCCACACCGCCCAAGTCACCAGCGGGCCACCTTCCTCTCCACTGGGCAGGGCAGTTAGCTGCCTTCCGTGATGGCCAGCACAGGCCGAGACACCCATTCTCCCAGCAGCACTCACTTGGGGACAATGACCAGAAGCGTGACGAGATATTCAGAATCCAGCACAAAGTCCTCTTTGCTCACAATATCGCTCAGCGTCCGGGTGAAGAGGTTCCCCCTAAAAGGCAGGTGGAACAAAGGGCGTGAAAGGTGTGAGCAGAAAGGGACATGGTGACCCCACACACACCCACGCCTAGGTGCTGGGGCCAGAGGCAGTTCTCAGGGGCGGTGGGCGCTGGGGATGCTGGGGCCTAGGAGAACACAGCAATTCTCAGAAATGATTGTTCCCCGCAACCCCAGGGCCCAGTGCCCCAGACTCTGTGCTGGGGCCACAGCTGCTGCCTCCTCCCCTCTAGGGACAGGGAGGCTGGCAGGGCATCAGGTGCTATCACCCATCGCCCAGAGGCTGCTGAATCCAACACCTCAGTGACCTGCACTGCCCCGGTGCCAGCCACAGCTGCTGCGGGAGGGGGGCCTCGGGTGGCAGGCAGCTAAAGTTCCTCAAGTGTCGACACAATGGGCAGCTCTCAGAGCTGCATGAGCCATCTCGATAGAGCTCCGTGTCACTTTACAGGCCTCCCAGGCCAGCAGCCCGGGGACACTCACCTGAAATAGCTTCCTACATGCCCAGTGGACCCAGGCTGAGTGGAGGGCATGGTATTATTAGTACATGGATCAAAGCTGACGGATCAGCAAATGGGCCAAGATCAAGCTACCCAGGCCGCATGGCGCGTCCACACGGGGCCATGATGTGGCCACAGTGCTTCTCTGGAAATCGCTCTTGAGCGTTGAGCCATTGCCAAAGCTTTAAAGGCAATGGTAAACACCCTCCTCAGGGAGCCCACGTGCCTTCTTTGCTGTCCCCTGCCTGAACATCACTGAACAGCCTCGTGGCCATGGATAAAGCCTGGAGGTTCCTTCTCCCTGGGTACCATGCGTATGAGCCTCCCTGTGCTAGCACCGAACACGCTACCCTCACACTGTCCCACCTCTCTCCCTGGCTGACCTCTGAACCTGGATCACAAAGCCGACTTTCCATGTGTGTTTGTTGAATGAGTAACAGTGAGCCCTGCAAGTCCAGAAATTGTATTGTATTCTAAACTGTATCTTTAGGGTCTAGCATCAGGCCTGAGGGCATGGTGCATACTTGGTTCATGTACAACCAAAGAAGAAAAGAGAGCGCAGAGGAAGGAGTTAGAGACTTTCATCCCTCTTCGCGTGCCGCCCTCCTATACTTGGCATATGCGCTCAGTCAATCAAACTCACGGTGAATCAATGAATGATCAATGGATGAAGGAACCTCACCAGCTGAGTGAAGAGGCTGGACCAGATGTCTGCTCAAGTCCCAAACAACCCACCATGGGATGATGACCCCGTGGCCTGCGGGCTCCAAGCCAGGACGGACGTATGACCCATCCCCATTTAGGGCTCTCTGCCCTGGCGCCCAGTCTCTGTCCCATCCTCTGTAGCTCATGCCCACTTACTTCTGACATGAAGCCAGGCATCCAACAGCAAGGGTTTCTACTGAAGTGAGTCCTTCATCTGTGGTTTCTAACTTTCCTTCCATTTATGTACCATTTGCTTTTTTCACAAGAAGACAGCTGGCCCAGTGACCCTCAGAAGCAGAATGTGGAAGTCGGGTACCTCCCAGGTGAATTCTCTTTGCTTACAGTGGTGAGCCAGTCAGAGGGAGGGCAGCTGGTTTGGGCTCCCTGTCCACTTCCCTCCTCTGGAGTTAGGGTCCAAGTGTAGGCATCAAATTAAAAACTCTGCAATTGACCAGGGTCCTCAGAGAACCGCCCCAGCATCAGATCCAAAGTCTGGGGGACTGGGCTGTTCCTCCATGACACCCCCACCCTGTTCAGGAGCAGCCTCCCCAGCAGGAGCTCACCCAGTCTGTGTGCGTGTGTGTGTGTTTGTTTTTTTTGTTTTTTTTTTTTGAGACGGAGTCTCTCTGTTGCCCAGGCTGGAGTGCAGTGATGATCTTGGCTCACTGCAACCTCTGTCTCCTGGGTTCCAGTGATTCTCATGCCTCAGCTTCCCCAATAGCTGGTATTACAGGTGCCCTTCACCACATCCAGTTACTTTTTGTATTTTTAGTAGAGACGGGGCTTCACCATTTTGGCCAGGCTGGTCTCAAACTCTCGAGTTCAGGTGATCCACCCACCTCAGCCTCCCAAACTGCTGAGATTACAGGCCAGAGCTGCTGCGCCTAGCTACCTGGCTTCTCTTACACACCAACAACAGGACACTCACTACCTCCCAACAGTCCCTGCTGAGCTTATACTTTTCTCTGGCACTGCCACCATCCTGGTGGCTGTTCTGTCTGCTGAGCCCACTCCCTCTCCCACACGGTGGCCCTTCAGGTAGGTGGAGAAGGCACCTGAGTCCCTGAGGCTGCTCTGCTCTGGGCCACAGAGCCCTATAACCACCTGCCTTTTGCAATGGGCTGTTCTGTGACATCCCAGCGTCCTGTCACCCCCAGTGGGCCCTCTGTGCAGCCTCCACAGGGGAGGACTGGGGGCAGCATCCCAGGCACCCTGGAGGAGCCAGGAGAGGGAAGCATGCAGGTGGCGAGCAGCATCGCCCCATCCTCTTCCCCAGGCACATGCGCGGGGTGAGATCGCCCTCGCCTGGCCCATTCCTCCTCTCCCAGCACGCAGCTCTTGCAGAGGTGAGGGTACCTCCACCTGTCTGTCTCACTGTCATACACAGGCACAGAGTCCCAGGTGGCCCGGTGACAGGACAGGCAAGCGCCAAGTCCCTGCCAGGACCCGCCCTAGCCAGACGTGGAGGCTGGCAGATACTCACATGGATTTCTTCTCCAGGTTCTCCAGGTTCGTCTTCAGAGTGTTATAAGCTGCTGTTCGGGACTTCAGGTCCGTCTCGATCTGTGCCAGTTGCTGTTTGGGAAAGCAAAAGCTCCTAGTGACCTCGAGCCTTGAAGGACTTGGCTGAACTTTCCAAGATGGCCACAACAGCTCATGGAGCGCTCAAGAAAAACAACCGCCCTGCCCATTTGCCGGGATGGCTTCCGTTTACCGGCATTTGGCCCTTCCAGGGAGGCCCTGTGTGGCACCCAGGTGCCAAGCCGTGACTGCTTGCTAGGATGACTCAATGAGCCCACCCTTTCCTGATTCCAAGCCCATCCTTAATGGTCAGGCATCCCACACCCACACTTACCCTCTCAGGCTCTGCTGGAGGCCAGCTCAGGCCAACCCCCCTCCTTGCTTCTGGGGGACCTGACATCGCCTGGCCCTCACAGATGCCCATGTCTCCTGGCTTGACTGTGCTGATCTCCCTTGAATGGGTTGGTAGGGGCAGGGTGGTACGGTAGACAGAAATAAGACAGGCCTGGGCTCAAGCTGCGCTGTCCTGCTTTCTGGCCAACTGGCTCACGTTCCCCATCTGTCCCACAGCAGGGATAATGCCTGTGCTGAGAGCCAGCTGTGCCAGGCTCCTTCCCATTCCCTCCCTCAGCCCCACACGTAACACCCCACCAGCTTGGGCAACCAGCCACAGCAGGAGCATTTACACCACGGCCAGCAACAAATGCTACAGGCCAGCACACAGCTGCTGTCGGAGAATCTCCAGAATCAGCAGACGAAGAAAATGGGTGCTCCCTAGAATGTCAACCAACAGCTTTAATCGAAATACACACATTTATACATGAGAGAATCCATTTTAAACTTTTAAACACTGGTTATCTTTTGGGAGAATACAGAGAATGGGGGTGATGATCACAGCTCTGATGATTTTATGATTTTAAAGATAAAACCATAAAATAATTTTAAAGATAAAATAAAGAAAGATTAAATATGATAATTAAAATGATTAAATGATTAAATTAAAATGATAGGTCAGGCGCAGTGGCTCATGCCTCTAATCCCAGCACTTTGGGAAGTTGAGGTGGGCAGATCACCTGAGGTCAGAAGTTTGAGACCAGCCTGGCCAACATGGTAAAACCCTGTCTCTACTAAAAACACAAAAATTAGCCAGGCATGGTGGCAGACCCCTGTAATCCCAGCTACTCAGGAGGCTGAGGCAGGAGAATCACTTGAACCCGGGAGGCAGAGACTGCAGTGAGCTGAGATCGTGCCACTGCACTCCAGCTGGGCATCTAAATGCTTTTATCTTTACATTTTGCCATGTTTAATTTTTTAAATAAAATTCATCTTTTTATAATTTTTAAAAATGTTTAATTTTGAAATGACTATAGATTCACAGGATGTTACAAAAATAGTGTACACAGATCTGAAGCACCCTTCGTGCAGTTTTCCACAGTGACGACGTCTTACTATACAACTATTCTGCACTGTACAGCTACATACTGTACCATGCAACTATATTGTACAACCGTAGGACTATATTACACTATTCTGCATGAGACGAAGATACTGCATTATGCAACTATACTGCTACATTAGTACCATCTGCACTATACAACTCTATTTCTAAACTACACTGTCCTATACAACTATGCTGCTCCGTGTTACACAATCATAGTGCAGTGCCATAGCCAGGAAACTGACATAGGTACAACCCACAGGTACTGGTTTTTAAAATATGATTTATATATTTTTTGAAAAACAAAAGCAAAAAGACTACTTCCTGTCTTTATGTTTCTGATTTCACCACAAGCCAATAAAAACTTGCTGAGCGGTATTAGGGAATCAGCAGAACAGTGGTAGGAACGAGGGCTTTCGAACCAGCAGAACTCGCATTTAAATGCCAGTTCTGACTTTTGCTGGCTGCGTAACCTGATATAAGCTCCTAGACCTCTCTGAAAAGTGACCCAGAATTATTGTGAGATACTAGAGGAGTTTCCTTTGACTAAATGTCTCTAGTTGGCGGATTGAGACCTCTCATTGGCAGAACAAGGCTGAGGCAGGGGTGTCACACTGTGTTCCTGGTGTAGAAAGGACTGTGGGAGCCCACACCCTGGAGCCTCGGGCCCTGCTGCTGCCAGGAGCCGGTTCCCTGCAGTGGGGCCAGTCCAGGGCTTCCATGCACACAGCACAGCCCGCGGGCTCTGGTCACCAAGACCTGCATCTCCAGCCTGGCCTAATGCTCCAACCACGGTGGGCTCTGGAGCTCTTACTCAACCCTTCAGCTTCCTCTTCTCCATTCAGAAGAAAGCGATGTCCACCATAAGGCAAGAGGTGGAAAGTAAGAGAGCCCAGCAAGTTCTCTGGCCATCTGGAATGCCACCAAACCAGTACCCTCCTTCCTTCCTGCCAAAGGCGCTTTTGGGGTGCCCTGGACTGGAGAAGCCAGGTCTCCCTACAGCCCCTCTGCTCCCTCCATATGCTCCAGGGAGCCCTCCCCAGAGTCTGGTATCTCTGGGATTCAGAGAATCCCAAACTGGTACAGGGCAGGGCAAGGAAGGGCCAGCCCCATGAGCCACCACGTGCTTCCAGTTCCTTGGTGGGCGTGCACAGCACCCTCTGAAAGGCACGCCTGGCACAGGTGCTCTGAGCAGCCCCTCCTTGAAGGGCCTTCCCCAGTCACTGCCCAATCATCCCAGGAGGGGCCTGGGCCTCTTTGACGTAAGCAGTGCCACCCAGATGCCCAAGCTTTCTGGTTCCACCCTACTTTCCAGGAAACCTGCGGGAGCTGCCAGAGGATCGGTCAGAGGCCCAGCTCCATTCTGACCCTTGACCACAGTCACAGAACAGGGCACCTTTGTTCCTGGCCCAGGCCAACGCTCTCCCATAGCTATGAAGGCCAACTAGAGACAGGACATGTTAGGGGCTCAGTGTTTTGTGGCAGAAGGGAGGGCCTGGCCATCAGAAATCATCAGCCTCTGTCTCACGGTCCTCGTCACCCTCACCCTCAGTGATGATACAGAGAAGTCACCAGGCTCCAGATGCCCACAGCATCGCCTGGGACTTGAGTCACAGGGTGTTTATTTTATCAAGTGGTGTGGAGGCCATTGCTGGGCAGGACAGCAGACTCTCGGGACACTTCCTGTCCCTCCACTGTCACAAGTGCCTCTAATTAGGGAAGCTCCCAGCAAGTAGCTGGTGCAAGGTCTCAAGGCAGTAACTATTCGTGGTTATTGTTGTTTGTTGTTGTTTTGTTTTTGAGACAGAGTCTCACTCTGTTGCCCACGCTGGAGTGCAATGGCACAATCTCGGCTCACTGCAACCTCCGCCTCCCAAGTTCAAGCAATTCTCCTGCCTCAGCCTCCTGAGTAGCTAGGACTACAGGCGTGTGCCACCATGCCCGGCTAATTTTTGTATTTTTAGTAGAGATGGGTTTCACCATATTGGACAGGCTGGTCTCGAACTCCCGACCTCATGATCCACCTGCCTCAGCCTCACAAAGTGCTGGGATTATAGGCGTGAGCCACTGCACCTGGCCACCATCAGTAACTTTGGAAAAAAAAAAAGTAGAGCAGCAAGTGAATGGGTGCTGGGCCCTCAAGGGGAGGTCAGAGGGCTGACACTTTCCTGTCTAGGGCTGCCCTGAAACTCCAAACCTAACCAGTGCATGGAAGGAGGCCACACCTCAGAAACCCAGAGACCCAGTCAGGGCTGGCTGAGGCTGTGGCGGGGGACCCTGTCCAGGCTCAGACCCCAGGCTCTTGTCCGCCTGACTCACCGGTCAGATGTCCCCCCCCAGCAGCCCCTCCTCTCACCTTGGCTATGGTGTCCACCACGCTCACGAGCGGCTGCTTGGCAGGATATTTGGCCATGTCCCATTCAAAGTGGGTCACAAAGGAGGTTAAGTCAACTGGAAGAATACAAACATATTTTAACACGAGTCTGGGCTCTGCCTCCATGATTGAGACTTCAGAATCCCGAGCCAGGCATCACCTGGGACACGAAGGCAGCCATCAACGGCAATGCCCGTGGGCAGGCACGGGGTGCTGGGAAAGCAAACGTTTCCCTGTGGGAGCAGGGAGTTGTGAGCCCGTGGGAGCTGTCAGCCAGAACCGGCACCCTAAACCCCTGAAAAACACACCAGCAGCTGAGAGGACTGCGCCAGCTGCCCTTCTGTGCCCAACTCTCCTTCCAGCAGCGGGTACCCCAGAGACAGGCTGTTTGGGAGAGTTGCCCTCCCGAGAGGAGGACGCCAAGCCGGCCGATCTCCTGAGAGGGCACCAGCTAAGTGTTCACCTTCTCCAGTGGCCTGGACCACACTTCTCTGCCGGGTCACTGTGCTGTTTTGAGGTTCCCCAAAGGCATGCCGGAGAGCAGTGGGCCAAGCCCTGAAACCCTGTGCGGTCCATGGCCTGTCCCAGGTGCCCCTGAAGCAAGACAAGCGTCTCCAGCCTCCTGAGCCCAAGCTCTAGACAGTTTCAACCTTCGCTGTCCATTTCAAAAAAGGCGTTTTACACATTAGCAAAATACTGGACTTCGTGACTGTGTTTGCAGTAGCCAGCAGGGAGGTGCGTTCTTCAGAGTATGCTATTTATGTAAAAGCCTCTGGTGAACAGAACACACCAGCGTTTTCACGGGTTTCCTTTTTTCTTTTCTTTCCGCAAAACCCACTGCCTTCAGGATATCTCTGGCTCATTCTAACCAGGTGTTGGGTGGAGAAGAGAGAGCCCCAGAATTGAAATCAGAAAGAAGCAACACTGAATAAACGTCAGCTGACTCAATCCCTAGGCGCTGGGCAAGTTAGGAGGGAATCCATTTCCCTGCCTGAGATACCGCGGGGTGCACACCTTGCGAGTGCCTGCTACCTTCAGATTAGTTCTCCACACACTTCAGGAGAGCTACTTGGTGGCCGAGTGTGGTGGTGGCTCACACCTGTAATCCCAGCACTTTAGGAGGCCCAGGCGGGTGGATCACAAGGTCAGGAGTTTGAGACCAGCCTGGCCAACATGGTGAAACCCTGTCTCTACTAAAAACACAAAAATTAGTCAAGCGTGGTGGTGTGCACCTGTAGTTCCAGCTACTCAGAAGGCTGAAGCAGAGAATTGCTTGAACCCAGGAGGCAGAGGTTGCAGTGAGCCAAGATCACGCCACTGTACTCCAGCCTGGGTCACAGAGCAAGGCTCTGTCTCAAAAAAAGAGAGCTACCTCGGCCAGCCACCCCAGGACCTGACCTCTTTTAATACGCAGGGTCTGTGGGAGAGCAGGAAATTCCATGGAAGCGGCAGCACCGAAGCGGCCCCTGGAATTCCTGCACCCCTGGCAGACGGCCCTTCCTATGGTGGATGTCCCAGACCAGGCTCCCTGTGCACCTGCACTTCCAGGTCTACCTTGGTACACCAAAGGGGACTGTCATGCTCACTCCACACCCGTCACCCTGCTGAGGACACACACCAGATGCCACCCCCTGCCCAAGGGCCAGGGGCCACAGTGCACAGGGAGACCCCTAGGCAGACACACTGCAGAGAGCTGGGGACCTGGGGACAACCACTTGGAGTGCTAAGGGAGGACAGAGGTAGCGCTGGCTCCTCTGGGGAGGATTCTGTCCCTTCACTGGGACACAGACACAGTATTCACACAAGGGCTAAGGAGGAGAGGAGGTGGCTGTGTGGCCAGTGACGGAGGGCATTGGGTATCAGGCGAGGAGGGCTCACAGCCCTCCATGCTTGGGGCACTGAGTCAGGGAAGAGGGAGGGTGGACAGACGCTGAACAGAAAGGGCCAGGACCAGTCACCAAGGGTCACGTCTGCACTTCACCCTGTGCCAAGAACAGCCCTAGATCCTGCCCACTCAGCCCCTAGCACGGGAGTGGACTGAGATTCCTCCAGCTCGGACTGCGACACCCAGGGAGTCACCAAATAAGCCTCCAGGGGAGGAGCCAGTGGGAACATGGGAGGGAGAGGGTGACGCCAAGAGGCGGGGAGAGGAGGATGGGGAGGACCGACTGGACAGGGTACAAGGCAACGGCGCAGGCCTGGCGACACCAGCTTTCCCGGTGGGTGGCTGGGTTGGGGGAGGGAAGTGCACTAAGCCAGGCAGCCGCGGGGCTGGAGGGATGGGGACGGAGGAGAGGCGGCAAGCTCTGCCTGGGACAAGCTGGAGTTTGACATGTGGGTGGACAGGTCCCCAAGCAGCAGATGGGAATGAAATGGGACTCAGAGGAAGAAACCAGGCTGGGGAAGAAATGCCAGCACATGAGGTAGGAAAGGCTGCGGTAACATGACGACCATGATGACCGCTGGAGCAGCCGGCATTCACTGCTTCTGGCCTTGGCCCAAGACGCATGAATTACTCAATTTAATTTATTCTTAACCCCATTAAAACCCTGTGAGGGTCTCCATTTTACAGATGAGGAAACGCTGGTACAGAGCAAGCCGTGGAAGCCCCAGGATAGAGTGAGGCAGCGCAGGAAGCACCTGACGCCCTGCGTGGCCCACGCTCCCTCCCCTGCTGGGTCCACTAAGCGGGCACAGCCATGCTGCAGCGGGAACCTGCCCGGGAGCCACACGCAGACACCGTCTAGACCACCGGGACTCGGACGCGGTCCTTGGGAGAATTCTGTTTCACAGAGATAGGATGCTGGTGTTGGAATTAACATGGCAAGTCCTGGCCTGTTGACAAGGGTACCTGTGAGGCACTAAGGGTGGGGCCCTGATCCAGCGGGACTCAAGGCTGTATTAGAAGGGACGGCAGAGGCTGACGCCCTTTTCAGCTTCAGCCCACCTACACCCAGGTGAACAGCCATGTTGCATGCACGCATGCGCGCGTGCACACAGACACACACACACACACACACACAAACACACACACACACACACACACAAACACACACACACACCCAAAGAAGGGACAGCAGAGAGTTGGAGCCTTGCTCTTCCCTCATGCATGTATCAGGAAAGGCTATGGGACGACACAGGAAGAAGGTGGCCATCTACAAGCCAGGCACAGAGTCCTCAGGAGAAGCCAGCATGTCTGACCTCGGACTTCCAGCCTCTGGAACCATAAGAAAACCAATGTCTGTGGTGGAAGCTGCCAGTCTGTGGCTTTTGTGATGGCAGCCCAGGCTGACTTAGACACTGGTATTGGTCGGGGTATTAATAAAGGCTTCGGTATAGCCACACACAGTGGGGAGTAACCCTGTAGCAAGGGTGCAGGCCCAGGGAGGAAGTGAAGGAGTCAGGTCCATCAGAGAAGGGAGTGGTCAGAGGGTACCCAGGAGGACGGGGGGGACTCTTCCTGTGGCAGGAACGGCAGCGAAACTCTCCTCTGGGACCCCACTGCGCGGGCACAGGCAAGCTCACCTCCCACCACGGGCCCAGACCCATCCCATGAGCCAGGAACCAGCCTCAAGGCACCAAGCAGCAACCCAGGATGGGAGACGGCAGGGCCGTGTGTGCCGTCCCATCCAACTCTTCCCTCCGCCTCCTACCCCATGCCCTCTGCCACACAGCTCCCTACTCTTCTTTCACAGAGAGGAGTACCTGTCCTTCAACACACAGGACAGGCCTTTCCATAGGCAGCCCGACTGCCCCTGCCCCTGCTGGCCTGAATTCCTCTCCCTGTGCTCTCTGGGGCTCCTCGAGGGCAGAGACTGTGACTCACTGGTCTCTGTGTCCCCAGAACCTGTCGCAGTGCTCTACAAGAGCAAGTGCTCCATAAACATGCTCAAAACATTGACAGACTCCTCCTGGCAACATGGCTGTGGTGTCAGCTCGCAATGTCTCTGTGGCTTGGAAAAGATACATTTCAGATCGAGCTCTTATCTCTGGCCATTTGCACCAAGTCCAAGGTCTTCATGGCATTCAGACCCAAGTGCTGAGGTCCCCCTTTCCACCTGAAACACCGCTGCCCTGCAACCCCTCCAAGACTGATCCCTCTTCCTGCAGCGCAGTCTCTGTTTCCATCATGGCACATGTGGCACTGTGGGTCTGTCCCCAGCAAGGCTGTGGCTTCCAGGAGGCAAAAGCTGTGTGTCACCTCCACATGACCAGCACGTGCTTGGTATGGACAGATGCTCAGGGAATCTGAGACAACGTCTCACTGCAGGGACCGCCAGAAGCCACACAGAGAGTGTGACTGTGACCGCCTCCTCCTCATCAGCTCTCATGTCCTGAGCCCCAGCCCCAGCTGTGTACAGAGCCTTGCCCCGGGTCAGGCCTCCAAGCCTTTCCCTGTCCACACACATTGCCTTTGGAAAGAATGTGGTCTGAGGACAGTCCTCTGCCATCCCTCTGGCCTCCTTTTTTTTGTTGTTTTTTTGAGATGGATCTCATTCA